CTCTTCATCTCCCTCCAGCTATGGGTAAAATAGCAGGACAGACTGGGTTCTATAGCCTTGGATGGCAACTGGTCTAGGAGAAGGACAACTCTGAATTCAAAACCTGCGGAGGGTCGTTTGGGAACCTTGTGGCATGCATTCGGTGCACCAGGTTTCTGTATTCGTCCCTCCAAAAAGTGTGGCTGGTCCTGCACGAGGCCTTCACCACTATAATCAAATCTCATGTGCCGGTGTTGGGATGTCGGTTTCCTGGGGACTTATCGGCCTGACCCTCATACGTCGAACGCGACGGGAGAGTCGATTATATATATATAATGATTCTCCAAGCGTAGCTTAGATGTGCCACAAAGCCGAAAGTAGGGTGGCACCGATTGCGTCTAGCATGAAACAGCCTGTCGCGTATTGACTTCAATGTTATTTACATTTACCTACGCTCTATCTCTGATATTAACCACTTTATCCCATGAATATAGCACACCTTAAAACTATATTTCTTCATCAATCTATCTATCTATCTATATATATATATATATATATATATATATATATATATATATATATATATATAACGGATGTAACAGCAAAATTGACCAATTGTAAGATTAGGCTTTGAACCGTTCGACTCTGCTTTGAGCATTAAGAATGTCTAATTACTCACCAAGCTTAAAAGAGAAGAATCCTGATGAAATCGATCATAAACGAAAATGACATGGTCATCATTAATTAATCATAGCTAAGGATCGGAAGTTCATGAAGCATTGAAATATATATATACACAGTGCTGTTCGATAAAAGTTACTCACCTGATTTTTTCACTTAAAAATTTTTTCGCCTATTGTTTTTGGGGTCAAACTAATTTTTAATCTTACTAATATAAAGACCCCTTCCCGACCACTTAGTAAAAAAGTTTACTCACCCTAAGGTATTCTATTGATAATTATAATTTTGGATATAAATGAGATTTAGGGAAAAACTCTGTGCAAAAAAAAGTGACTCACTTATTTCCTGCAACTAGTAATCAATAGAAACATAACCGAACAGCTTTAAATAAAGAATAATAGAGGTATAATTTATTTATAATAGGTAATATAGTTCGAAATATTTAATAATCTATGGGTCCTCTTTTATTTTGAATAACCTTTTCAACCCTTTTTGGCATTGACTTGATTAGGTTCTGGCTAATCTCATCTCCAAGTATTGAATTCCATTCAGATATGAAATTCACAATCAAATCGTCTTTGTTGCTTAACTGCTTTCTCGAGAGCCTGTACTTTATAATGCCCCATAAGTTTTCTATGGGGTTGAAGTCAGGAGATTGGGGCGACCATGTCATAACACTCACCTGCTTCTCATCAAAGTATTCCTTCATCAATTTTGATTTGTGACAGAGAGCATTATCCTACATAAAAATGAGCTTGGTGGGGTCGATTTGCACCCTTTCAGCAGAAGGGAGCAGACAAAACTCTAAAATTCTCTTGTACTGCTCGCTCCTGATGGTCTTTTCAATAAATTTTAAGATACCAGTTCCATGAAAAGAAAAGCACACCCAGAACATTATACTGAACAGATTCTTGACAGTACTTACTGCTAAATTCAAAGAGCTTTCAAAGCTTCTTCTTCGGATTTTAGATCGCTTATCCTTTGAATCGGAGAAGAGAACATTTAGTAAAAAAAAAAATCAAGTGAATCACTTTTATCGAAAGCACTGTATATATATATATATATATATATATATATGTGTGTGTGTGTGTGTGTGTGTGTGTGTGTGTGTGTGTGTGTGTGTGTGTGTGAATTTAATTTCAATCCTAGCAGGAAAATAGTGTCCACAAAAAGGAAAATTTACGGAAGAATAATAAAAAGGAAAATTCATGAGAGCTTGAAATTCAAGCAAGTCCCACAACTCATTCTCGAAAACGAGATCAGGTAATAAACATGTGACAAACGTGATAACGAATACAGGATGAATTAAAACAAAATATATTGCTCTAAGGATTTTAAAAAATGTCTAGTAATATGAAAGAAAAACAAAAAGAAAGAAAATACCTTTAAAATTACAAAAAAAACAAAAACAAAAAAAAAAACAAAAAAAAACGCACTAATAAAATAGAATGGTCCCCTCGTAAAAAATGTATTTATTTTTTTAATATACCTGCAAGTGGAGTCCTATTCATAATATTGTTATGGTGTAAAATCAATCCGTAAATTTTAGAGATATCTGACCTTACATCTTTATTTCCAAATGTCATGTTTGGAACTAAGTTTCAGTTTTTTATAAAATGATTTCTTTTAAATAAAGTAAAAAACCAATATAAACATGTTTATGTGTTTCAATTGAAGAAAATATTTTAGATAAGCAATAGTAATTGTTTGGCAACATTGTAGATTTTATTTTCATCTTTCGTCGTTTTATTTTCATAATTTCAATTTTTGTTCTTTAATTATAATAAGCAATTATATAATTAATTAAAATGTTTATATCTGTTTATATAAAATATTATATCTCGGATTAAAATGAATCTTTTTGTAAAAAATATAAAAATAACAACATTCACTTGACAAATAAATTGCTTGCTCAGAATATGTATACATATGCGTTTGTTCTTTAATTAAAATGCATATATCCGTTTGTTATTAATGAATATGTATATATATGTTTCTTCGTTAAATAAAATGCATATATTTTATTGTTCTTTAGTTAAAATTAATATAACTTTTTGTTTTTAATTAAAATACATAAATCTCTTTCTCTTTTATTAGAATGCATACATCTATTTGTATTTTGTTAAAATGCATATTTGTTTCTTCTTTAATTTGAATGCATATATCCGTTCGTTTTTTAATTAAAATATTTGAGTCTGTTTCTTTTTTGATTAAAATGTATATATCTATTTGTTCTTTAAATTAAATGCATATATTCGTGATATGCGTTCCAACTTCTATATATTATTATATAACGACAAACAAACACTTAAAAACCGTAGGTGTTACATTTGGTTTACAGGTCTGAAGATTTGAAGCCGTTTTTTATCAACTTCAGTGAAATAAATATTACCTACTAAATAATAATATTTCAAATTATTAATTTATAATCTTTCTTTTTATTAATTTATATATATATATATATATATATATATATATATATATATATATATATATATATATATATATATATATCAGTTTGTCCTTTTAATTATAATAAATGCACCTATTTGTTCTTAAATTAAAATACATACATCTATTTCATCTTTAATTCAAATGTCTACATCCGTTTATCTTTAATTAAAATGCATGCATTTATTTATTGTTTAATTAAAAAAGCCATACATCCGTTTGTACTTTAATTAAAATGCATACATTTATTTGATCTGTAATGATAAAGATCTTTAAAAAATAGTATTTAGGATTGTCAAATGAAGACGACATTAAATGCAAATAACGAAAAAATATATCATTGCCAGGTTATGTACTAAGATAAGTAATGTTTTTAAATTTATTATTGCTAGTCGGAAAATGATTTTAATTTAAATGCATACGTCTGTTTGTTCTTTTATTAAAATGCATATATCCATTTGTTCTTTAATTAAAATGCATACATATGATTGTTCTATGATTAAAATGCATACATCAGTTTGTTAATTAAATTAAATGCATATATCTGTTTATTCTTTAATTAACATACCGGGTGTAACAGCAAAATTGTCTAAATTGTGTAATAGCATGAATAATTGTCCACCCCACAAAATGATTTTTAAATTAGACGGTTAGTCATCTTCCCGACATTTTTGTAAGAAACCCTTTGAGTTATTAAGCTAGAAAGAGAACAGGTTAAAATCCACTATGTCTTCCCAACTGAGCAATGATGAGAGGAAAAAGATCATTCAGGCTTTCAGTAATAGTACCAACATTCACACTATTGCTTTCGTTTTCACTGTCCATTCAAGAACCATCAAGAGAACGGTGAATAAGTTTAAAAAGGGTGAACAGTAGAGAGGAAAACTGGATTAGGAGATCACAACAACAAGTGGGATCATCATTTCAACTTACAGCTAAATACATTCTTGTTGTTCAAAGTATTGTCCAATGGTGTTAGAAAAATCTCGTAGAATTCCAGTAAGATATATTTAATCATTTCTAAGATACAACGGTTCAAATATTAATCTAACAATTGAACAATTTTGCTGTTACACGATTTGGACAATTTTGCTGTTACACACGGTATATATATGTTTCTTCTTTATTTAAAATACATACATCCGTTTCTTTTAAAATTAAAATGCATACATCTGCTACTTCTTTAATTAAAATGTATACATCTGTTTCTTCTTTAATTAAAATGCGTACATCTGGTTGTCCTTTAATGAAAAATTTCTTTTTAAACAGTATTTAGCCATTAAAAACAAATAAAGGAAAATATATCATTGCTCTGTTATTTACTCAAGTATGTTTTTAAATTTATTATTCTTAGTCGGAACATTTCGTTAGAAACAAAGAAAAGAGTGTTGCCACACCTATCCCTCCTATATGGCAGCGAATGCTGAAAATTACCTTATAGATACAGGAAAAATTCGAAGCGACAACGATGTAGTTATACCGACCATGGGCAGAACATAGCAATTAGGAAGTTCTAAACAAAATAGAAACTAGAATACCATATTTAAAATCAGAAAAAAGATAGTTGCAATTTCTATGGCTCATTAAGATAGGATTATGGATCGATAGGTTGGGAAATTTAATACCCCCAAAAGATATTTAAGGAAGGAGGGGTAGAAAAATCAGCGAGTAACCTACCTAATAGGTTTAGATGAACAGATGGCATAGCGAAGACAAAGAGGAATGGTAAAAAAATCAATCGTTTCTTAGATCAACAAGAATCGGGAAGTTGTGGAGCGTCATGAACATGCAAGTCCTGAAGGGACACGGTACATAAAATACGTTTGCCAGTCCAAAATAGTTCGTAAGTCATTGTAAACAAAGAATAGACATGTCAACAATTGTTTTACCATTAAGGGAGGGTACGATATTAAGGGAGGGTACGATATTAAGGGAGGGTATGATATTAAGGGAGGGTATGATATTAAGGGAGGGTACGATATTAAGGGAGGGTATGATATTAAGGGAGGGTATGATATTAAGCATTGTCGGTTAAATGGTCGTTACATTTTTTACCATCTACTGAGACAGTCATGTTTTGGCATTTGATATCACTAGGGCACGACGAATTGCAAGTGGTAAATAAACATGTCGATGTTTGACTATGTACACAGAGGCAGGTTTTGTTTGTATTTAGCTTTGAAGAAAATATCAATACTTGCCTTGCTATCAAGATTTGACCCTGAACTGAGTCAATTATGTTTTCTTATTTAACTTTGTCAATCAACTAAGGACACTAGCAATTGCAAATGAAAAATAAACGTGTTAACCTTTGGCCATGTTTTGAGGATCGTATATTTTGGCATTTAACACTCTTAGCTAAATGAGGACAAAGCCAGTTTCAAATGAGTATAAATACATCAACGTACGGAGATATAGTTAGGCATGTTGTTATTATTCATCGCTGTCAGCTAAAATATGTCGGCACCATTTGTTGGACGAAAGTTATAAAAACTCAATAAATGTAACAGGTTTTATAACATGCAAAAAATGTAGGCCAAAAGTTTGGGGACGCCTTCTGGATTTTATAATTAATAAGTTTCATACAGTCTTTGGTTTAATTAACTCATGTTAATGCAGGATATATCACGCCCATTTTTTTAGAGGGGGACTTACAATTTTAAATGTGCTAGCACAAAGATTGCTACTAGTCAGGAAGTTAAGTTAGGTAAAAAGTGCTAAAATATTAATGGAACGTTAGGCAATAATGGATTAATTTCATTGTCATTAGTGTATTTATGATAAAACCTTTCAACAAGAGGAAGTCCCTCTGGCCCGGCATACGAGGATCATTCAAATAGTTTTGAGCTTCACCCAGAAGGAGTTGGAGAAAGAACACAGTTTTTCACTATTTTTTAATTTATTCCCTTTGACATCAATGCACTTGGTACAACGATGCTTAAACTTTACAATCCCATCACGGAATAAGGTGACATTTTGGACCCACCTAAAAACTTTCCACAGCATATATGATTTCATTATTGTTTTCAAAATGGCGTCTAAGCAGGTGGGATTAGGGTTTAGAAAACAGGAAGAAGTCAGATGGAGCTAAGTCTGGTGAGTAAAGGGGATTGAGCAAGTAATTCAAAGCCACAGTTGGTTGATTCATCTACTGCCAACTGAGCAGCGTGAATGAGCGCGTTATCCTGGAGTAAGAACACACCTGAACTTCCCTCTGCGTTTTCACTTGATTGCTTGCTTTGGTTGTGTTAATTCTGTCCATAAAGAGTTTTTTTTCTTTTTCCAGGTAGTCTACATGATTACGTCTTCAGAATAAAAAAAAAACAGAAGTCATCACTTTGCAACAGACGCCGCCTGTTTGAACTTCTTCGGGGTTCCACTCTTTGCTTTGAATCTTATCTTTGAGTAACTAATATGCCTGGAAGTGAGTCAGAATTATCCTTGAAATGTCAAATCATTTCACCCTTTGCTCTGGTGTCAGCATTCTTGGGCTCCATCCTACAGACAGCTTGCTTGTCCCCAAGATTTCAGAACTAGAACTAATGCCTATGGCCTTAGCTATCTACTGGAGAGTAAGACGTCTGTCATCTAACACCATACAGGGAATGACGTCAACTTCTTCACCGGGAGATGAGGTTTTTGAACGACCTGACCGAGGGTCGCATTCTGTGCTGTCCCTGTCCCGCTTAAAGTCCGCAGCCCACTTCTCCACAGTTGCATAGGAAGGGAAGTCCTCAGCAAGTGTCTGTACCATGTCCTTGTGGATTTCCTTGTGTATCATACTTTTCTTTTACAGATACGACACGATCCCCTGTTTTGTCCATTTTTGTCGCACACCTCTCACCTTTTATGGGTCTCACCTGCACGGAAATTAAAATATAAATCTGAATTGGTAGCGGTAGTTTGCTGACACAACAAAAATGTTCACCTATGGCTTTTCTTTCTGGGTGGAGGTTTAGAACTTTTTGAACGACCCTCGTAAGTGAGTAAGTTAGTTTTGAAAAAGACAGGGAACTTTCAGTTTATAGACGATTCTTCGAAATCCAGAGAGTGATCCAAACGTTTAGCCTATAACTTACATTCAGATTAATGTCACCATCCTTTTTGTTATTATCACAACATTTTGGCCGTTGAGTTCGCCGGGCTTCTTCAGGTAGATATCGATCCGTGTAAATTTTCGAAATTGATGCTTTATTTAATCTACGGGGGTAGATTGTTCTTATTCTGCTGCCCATGTCTATGAATATCTGTCCCTGTTTTATTTAGTCCTGCTCAGTTATTGTTCTCCATGTTTTCACTGAGTTTACCACTATACAACTTGGTCCAGGGATTGAACTCACAATTAGCGTGTCACCAAATTCACAAACCTACATGGAATGAAAAACAAACGATATAGAGGCTCTACTTGAAGCTTTATTAAACTATAACTCAACTTTGGCAATAAACAGGGTGGAGCTTATTCGTTTATATCTGGTACAAGGGGAGACAAATATGGTTGACAAACCATATTCCCATATTCAGTTTTGTTCGGGGTGGGGGCTAGAAACGAGAGTATTTGTAGCGAGAGATGACGTACCCTGGGAAGAGGACAATTATGAACCAGAGGTAGTTCCGAGGTAGGACCGACGATTCCAGATTGTAGGTAAGAGACAGGCTGTTTCTATGCCTTGTCTAGTAAGAGGGCCTGGTCATCAGCTGTAACCAGGTCAAAAGATTTATTTTCGAGTAGTCTTTGTCTTATTTCTTGAGACGATATCCCTTATGAATTCGTCCCGGGCTTTGGTCCGCTGTCAATGTCTTGAAGTTGCAGTCCCGACTTAATGTCTTTAATGCCCGTAAATAATGATGCAAGTATCCCTTGTAGCTGAGAGAAGGTGGCGAGTGAAAATGGCGTTTTTCCTTTTGACAAACATTCCCTCTAGGATGCCAACAACAGTTTTGTAGTCCCCGCAGGAAGTAATACCGATATAAACCCGAGTGAAGACATGATGAAATAATAGAGTAAGCTTTTCTGTTGCGGATATTCTTGTGAGAGACGACGTCTATAATGCTGTAATAAAGCAGCCAAATAACATTTTGTAATGGTTCCAGTAGTGCCTGGATCAGATGTATCAATAATAATGTTGAATAAATTGTAATGAAAAACAAACGCGGTAGGATCTTTACTTGAAGATTTATTCAACTATATCTCAACTCTGGCAACAAGCAGGGTGGGGCTTATTCTATTGTGAATGATTCAGGGGGAGACAGCTATGGTTGACTTCCACCACACTACGTTTTAACCCACTCGGCTATTGTCGTCTATTTCTGCGCTACTAATAATATCTGTGTCATATTTTCGTCGTTTTATGACACTTCCCAGATGGTTAAATTTCTGTACTTGTTTGATTCTGACGTTACCATTTTGTAGTTTGCATCTTCGTCAGTCGCTTTTACTAATGACGATGTATTTTATCTTCTTAGAATTTATGCTCAGTCCTTTTTCTTGCTTTTCTTTACTATTTTGTCTTGGAGTTTCAGTGGTTTTCCTTTTCTGTGTCTGTCATCAACACGGTGTCATCTGCGTATCTTATGATGTTAAGCTTGTGTCTATCAATAATAAATCCTGGCAGGTCTTTTTTCTTCTCTTAGGATCGTATTGCTGTAAAGGTTAAATAAATCTAATGAGAACATTGCAAGTGAAAAAAAAACAAAAAACAAATAAATTTTTTTAATGCTTTTATAGTCATTCCGCATATTCTCGGGATGTTTTCCTGAATCAAGAACAGGAAATATTTTAACAGGACTTAAATTTGAAAATCTGAATCAAATATAAAAGAGAAACAAATTACAATATTATACACATGAAGCCATTAGATCACACCCACTTCCGGTCTTTTGAACAGGAATAAAGGTTTATCTTTTGTTTCCTGTTTAGGATCGGGTTTCTGGTTACTTCTAAAGTTCTTCCATTCTCTTTCACTCTCAGTAGTCTTAGTGACATTATTGCCTTGCTTGTACTGACTTGACTAAAAAAAAAAAAAAGATAAAAGAGTAGCATTGGTATTACAAAAAATTATTTCATAAGCTTTTTCAAATTCTTTAAAAATTATTACGAAAATCTATTTTCATAATTTTGCATATTTCAATTTAGTTAAGGTTGTTTCGATTTACTATTCAGAGTAAATAATGATTGAAAATAAGAGTTATTTCCCTTGACTAAAAACATAAAGTAATGTCAAAAGTGAATAAAAAACAAAAAACGAAACGTTGTAAAGTAAGTAAAATATTTTAAGTTGGGTCCATTTGTTCGGCGTAATGACTTCAAATGAAGAATAAACATGTCAATGTATGACCATTTCCCGAGGCAGATATATTTGAGTGTTTCGTACTGTCAGTCAGAAGGGGGCGCCACTGATTGTTTGCGTTTACATCTCGAGCAGCCTGTGAAAGCAGCAGGGTTTTAATAGCAAAGAGAAACGATGTATTTTCAGCTGGTGTCAATTGATTCCTTGCTATTGTTTACCGTACGGTTCAACTCACATTTGCGTTCAAATAGTTTTTAATTGTTAACAACAGCCGGTTGTTAATAAAACTCCCATTAAAATTATTCATTGGCGGTTGATATCAAATAAGCTTAAAACTTTGCAAACGAGACAAGACTAGGAAAAATCCTTATTTGTTTGACAGCCAAAAGATATTCTATAGGTTTTCTTTTTTAATGACAAATTGTTGCCTAGAATTTTACATTTAAGATTATAGGGGCATCATCATCATCTTCTTCATCATCTTCGTGATTATTATTATTATTAAATAAAAATATAAAATAATAATGAATATTATAAATAAAATAAAATAAAACAAACAACATTAAAACTTTCTTTAAAATGAATTAAATAAAACCAAAAAAAAAAAAAATGTTATCCCAGAATGCAACAGAAAAATTTCCTGTCTTAAAACGGACTTCGCGCCAAAAGTCGCTAAACTCAGTCTCTTTCGTTACTGACCATTGGAAGGTCAAGACGGCCATCTCCTCTCCTCGGGACATTGCTTGTAATAATACGAAATGACTTCTTCCTTTTATCATATGCAACCTTAAAACACTTGTAACTAAAATACACAGACACACACAGACACCCCAGTACACAAAAATAAATAAAATTGTATGATTTTAATTCACAATTTAACATGCGTTTTAGTTTTATTTCTGTGTATGTTTTTACCCAAGTTTGATTTAAAATTTATAATTTCAAAATAGTGCCAGAGTTTAATAAAACCTCAAATAAACTTTGATTTAAAATTTATAATTCCTTGGTGTTAATTAATATTTGCGATAAATAACATTACATTATTTGAGGTGAATTAGCTAAAAATCAGAAAGGCCTATAGAAAATACGTAACAGTTTCTATGGAAAATATTGTGTATTTAAAATCAAAACAACAAATAATTTTTGCAACATTAAGATCTTAGAAAATGTTCATTTTATGAGATCAGATAAAAATATAGAATCAAGAATATTTAAAATTTAATATTTAATTTAGAAATCTTAAAATCTAATTTAGCCAACGCCATTTTTTATTTTATGGCCGCTCTGCTGGTCTAATAGTAGTTATATCAACTTTGCATTAAGCATTGGGCGTTCTGTTTATAATTTTTTTTTTCAAAATTATTAAGAAAAAGCTGCTTGAAATTCAGAGATAAAGTTGTTGCTTTAAGTCAAATAATTATTAGTATTTCTCCTCTTCGTTATTTTAATCCCTCATTTTGAACCCCTAACTTTTTATCGATGAGTTCTTCAACTTTACTTCTGGTAGTTTTATGATAAAATCCTTTTACTTTATCCTTTGTTCTTTTTTGAATTTCTAAGAAATATTGTCTTTATTCAAGAAACAATTCGAACTATTATTATAAACAGAAAAAAACTTAATTAAAACTAAATACAAAAAATGTTGAACTGTTATCCTCCGATAAGGCATTTGTTATTGGTGATCTCTTCACAGATGAAGTGATTTCGTTTGGTTGATTTTGTTTAGCGACATATCAACCTCTATAAGTTACTTAATGGCGAAATCTAAATATTTGGTACACAATTTTATGGCTTCAATTACAGATAATTTGTACATCATTTTATAATTTCAGTGTTAGCGTATTTCTTATAGATATAGTATGTACATGATCTGTTTTAAGTAATATGTGTTATAATAAACCTATATCTTTAAAGTAGGACATTATGTTGATTGGTTGATTTTGGTATATCAACACCTCTATGGGTTATTTAATGCCAAAATCTAATACTTTGGACGCAATGTTATTCCTTCAACTACAGATATTTTATATATGATCTTATATTTTCAGGGTACATGTATGTTTTTTTTATATAGCTTGTATATGATAACATTTATTGTTGGCTATTTAAAAAAAATGTTTTGTTGGAAATTTAAAAAAAATATGTAGTGTAGGTAATCTGTGTTGACGTTTTGCTATAAAAATGTATTGCTGGTAATTTTATTATAAAAATGTACTGTTTACTGTTTGCCCATAGCTGGGACCCTAACAGTTACTACTAACCTAAGTCAAAATGGACCTGGGAACAACAACAATTTCTCGATCAAAGTCTTGCTGCCGGATGTAGTTAATCGTCAAACCCCGGATGGCAGACGAAGTGGAGGCTTGAGGTAACACAAATGTAGCTCTACAGAAGGATGCTGAGAATAGTAGGGACAGAACATTATGATTTTATCTTTTCTACTTTTTTAAATGCTAAGATGAAGTATTGTTCCGATTAAGATCAACATTATTGTTGTTTTTATTACTCTGCTTCGTTCGACATATTTACACATTTGTCATTAGGCTTACGGCTACATCACGTTGAAACACCGGTTCTCGAACGAACACTGAAGTTGAGCAACGTCGAGCCTGGTCAGTACTAGGATGGGTAACCGCTTTGCCATACCAGGTGCTGTAGGCTTGGATGTGCGGGTGGTGTAATGAACAGCCGAATTCCAATTGTAGTCAGGTTCGTTCTATTCACCTACTCGTGAATACCCTTGGGAAAGGTATGAATTCATATCTTCTTCCCCCAAGCTGTGGGTTAATTAGTAGAACTTGTAACAATAAAAATCATTATTATCTCCTAAAAAAATTACAATATAAAACTATTTCCTGGCTTTAAATAACCCGCAAAAGTTGATAAACCGTAAAAAAAAGAAATCAGTGAATCAAACTAAAGTTTTATAATCGCGTCTAAATTTCTAAAATTATTAATATTTCTACAAATTCTAGAGACGTTGTTGGTTTTTCTTTTAAACAGATTAATTGAATCAGCAATATTATTGGTCCTGATCTGACGGTTCGGCTTTAGTCACTTTCCCATTGCTCTAAGGTTGCCCCTCTGTGCCTTTTCTATAAATACTTTCATGATAATTGTTTGAATGAGTTCTTCGCCATTGTACGTAGACTTTTTTAAGCGCAGTACTTGACTGGCGTTGCGATCTCATCAATTTACAGTTAAGCTGGCTAGATGTAGCCGTAAGTTCTATGTGACAGTTTCTTTTCTCACACTTCTCGCTTGTGGAACTCCCTTCTGGCCCCATGCTTTCCAGCCAATCTGCAAAAATTTAAATGTAATCTCAATTACTATTTACTGTCCTCCTGATTACTCTTTTCCCTTCCTACTTATTATTAATGTTTCTGTTCCTAATTCTTCCACATCCTGTAACCCTTGTGTCTTAGGGGCTTTACCGATAAAAAAATGTCTTATTCCTGTGAAATGGTTTCAATGAAAGAATTGACACATCACCGCGGCAAAGGAGATGAAGGAGATTAAAATTCCAGCATTCCATTTATATGAACGCGCTTAGCTATTTGTTTGTTTTGTCTTTCCTACAATCGGCCACGGAACTCATATTTTTTTTACTAGTAAAATGTCTGAGTAAAGAGTTTTATCACTAATGCTCTAGAGCAGTTTCCCCGAGTAAATATTTGACCAGTTTAAATTCATCTAAAACAGAAAATTTCTAGCGACAATTCTACAGAATGGACCCTTTATCCTTTGTAAAAATGTACAACTTCAGCTGAATTTAAATAAAAGCTTTCTGTCGACAACAATGGGTTTTAGTTGCCCTTTATTGGATTTGAACGTTGAATACCTCACAGTCATTGTGCTCTCCGGTGGGGACACTGCGTTTGTAACAACTAAGATAAAAGAAGCTGCCCTGAATAGAAAGGCATCTGATAATGGCAATTCTTCGTCTCAAAAATTCTGACATAAATTTTTTGAATCAGTCTATCCATTACGGGTTATTTCTCTGGAGAAAGAATACGTGTTTTTATTATTTAAATAAAAGCTTCTTTGTTTTAAATTACTCTTCTTCCTTGTAAGTGCTAGCAAACAACTGGTATGTTGTCTCTAAAACAGGAGAGGGATTTTGATATCCGTGTGATAGAGACAATTTAGATTTTACCGAAGGTACTGCTGTATAATGAAACCAAACTGGAGCTTATATGCTTTAACGTAGGAAAGCTTTTACTTATATCTGTATTAAAATTGGCTTTTAATTATTTCTATGAGGCGTGTTCACTTAAAACATTGGTGATCATGTCTTTCCACGGTGTGGCAGCTAGGGTACCAACTATGGGCAAATAGTGAACTCCCCTCCCCACCAAAACACTATGTCAGTATAAAAATACATTTTTATAGTAGAAATATCCACAATACCTTTTTATATAGTTACCGTCAATACCTATTCATAGTAAAACGGCCAGCAATACATTTTACAGTAGAATGGACAACAATACATTTTATTTGAATGCATACAACTGCGTTCAAAGTATTTAGATTAAATAATCCATAGATGTTGATCTGCCGTTAAACAAAATCAAGCAACCAACATGTCTCTCATCAATATCGTGTCCTTTGTAGCTCTTAATAAATTTTGTCTTTTCGTTATCTCTCTTAAACTTTGTTCTGCCATCCATTTACTCAAGCTTTCTAGGTAGGTTATGCAATATTTTCCTCTGTCCCTCTTGACTACAATCTGTCATATGAGTATCAAAATTTCCAAGCCCTCTTTCCTCAATATGAGCCCTATTAATGTCAACTGTCCCTTCCTGATGTTAAGTATAAGTGTCGTTTTTGTTTCCATTTTCTCTAAAACTTTGTTCGATCCATGGAATTCTCAGCACTCTTCTGTAGAACCATATTTCATTTGCTTCAAGTCTTTTCTTCCTCTGTGAGGAGATTGAACAACATTCATTGCGATAGAGAAGGAATGATATTACGTAACAGTACAGCACTCTCTGCTTTCTTTCTAACGCAATTTTTCTGTTTCTTAATACTTTGCTTAACTTTTGGACGGCACTTTGGGTATCCCAATGCATCTTCGAATTTCAGTGACGCACGTTCCGTCCTCTGTTAAAACACTTACCACTTATTCTGTCAGTTAATTTACTCAGTTTAATAGTTCAAATGTTCGATTTAGGTGTTTAATAGTTCAAATGTTCGACTTAATTCCACGCAGAAGAATTAGTATATTCTGAAAAAGAATCATTTTTTAAACTTCTTTCTTTCAGTGTTTTTCGTTTCCGTGTTTTTTTTTTACCATATTTATTTGTACCTGCATTTTTATCGCGAAAAAAAAAAGCATAGCATGATGAAAAAGGCCCCAAATTTAATAAAAACAATGTTTTATTGTCAAAATGTTTATGTTATTATTAAGAGGAAACACCAAAGTAGTTTCGAAATTTTTTAATCCTTTCTAGCACGTTCGAAATTTTGACTAAAAATTTTGTTTTTTTTTACTTCAACGGTTGACTTTTCAAATAATTGTTGGATTTTAATGAAACTTTCAGGACATATTCACAAATGAATGAAATTATCTTTGAAAATTTTTTTAGAAAATCTTTGTAAAATATATATATATATACATATATATTACATATGTTACACCCCCCACTTACTTAATTTCATGAAATTTCTAAAAATTAAATTTTAAGGCGAGAATTTGTTTATTAGTTAAAACTAAAAGTAAGACTCCTTAGAGAATTTAAATCATCAGTTTTTTTTTAAATAGTTAACCCAATCACCGAAAATCTGATCTGAATCGTAAAATAAAGATTGCAATAAAACTATTCCATTATTTAATTAGAAAAGCTTTTAATTGTTTTTATAAATAAGATTTTATTATTGTTTTCATCTTTTAAAAATTTTAATAAAATATTTGAAACCGTTTAAAATTCTGCATTACTTCAATTCGGTTAAGTGATCTTGTTATTAGATGAAAACTACATTTACGAATCAAAAATTGGAAAGCTCATTAAAAATCGTTTTAACCCAATATTTTAAAATTTTTAAAAAATATGTGCCCTCGTTTAAAAGTATGGTGACCATACACTACATAATCAAAAAATAAGAGCGATGACTAAAGTAAATTTAAATTCAACATTCCTAAAATGTTTAAGATTACTGAGTACTTAAAAATTGTATAAAAAAGCGTTCACCCGTAATTTTCTTAAATTATGTTTTAACAGATAAGGTCTCCTTAGAACAATAATAAAAGTGTCAACACCTCGTCAAGTGATTTACAAAGTGTTGACAAGCAATTAATCGCGCTACTGTTTGTTTTTAAAAATCTATTTCTCTATTATTTTAAATTTAAAATAAATAATTTTTTTTTCAAATCAGATTAATTATACTTTAAATCAGTTAATATTTCTCAAATGAAGTTTCAAAAAAATATATTTCATTTTTGGAAGATTATTGAAACCGAGAATTAAATTAGAATTAAATTTTGTTTAGAATCTGTCAAAAATGGTTGAATTTAAACGATTTCTGAAGCAAGAAGTTGAGATTCTAATCAATATAATTTCTATTTGAAATACACCAGGGTATTTTTCTTACTGGAAATTGTAAATTTAATCATTTAACCTTCAATTAAAGCTAAAAAGAAAGCTTTAAGAATGATTTTTCATTTTTAAACTTTTTTTTAAACTAAGGTATCGAAGCTAAGTTGAGGTACCTAATTTTAATAAAAATAAATTCAAATAAACTTCCCCTTAGAAATCTTCTATATTTATTATTACTGAATATTCTCAAATAGCCTTATACCGGACACGGATGGAAATAACATACGAAAATCAGAAGATACTATACCATAACCAGTGTCCAGTGATTCAACTGAAGGGTATAAACCAGGGACCTGTAATTCTCCCAGGCCAAACACTACAAAAATGCCCCCTAAATACTCCAAGGCGCTATAAGTGTATCCCCAAAGAATCTAAACGACTCGATATCGAACACTAAAAAAAGAAAAAAATTTAAAAAAATAAATAATTAATTCGGTTGTTTTTTTTTTTTCAAACTGTATTCCTTTTCTTTTGTCGAAATAAAAAGTATTCCAAATATACATTGTCAAAAAAAAAAGTGGGGGGGATGCAAATCTCTACCTTATAAATGGCAGTTGATACAGTTAAAATAATCCTGACTTTTTGGTTAGGATTGGTATTCATTGAATGTTATCCTAAACTCCAAGGGCCTTTCCCCTCAGGCAGTACCTCTCATACGGCAGGGGTCTGGGTTTACTGCCCGGTGCCTAAGGCGTCCCCAAAAGGGGAAGTGCCGAAGGCGCTTGGGAATTTTTGCACGGTATAGGCGTAAGACCCACAACTGACCTTGTGTCACATCCGGTTATGATGTGGCGCCCTGGTAGATACCACTAATGCTGACCTACTACTAGTAGCGAATACTTGTAACTAATTATAGTTTACAACAGTTATTTTATTTTTTTTACCTTATTGACGTTACTTTTAATCACAGCACTCAGTTCGATCCTCAGTGGGTGACCCATACTTTCGGCCTTGTGCCATATCTAAGCTACGCTTAGAAAACAACCATCACAGCACTCTGGGTCGATAGGGCCTTCGAGCGTTAAAATAGATTAATTAATGTTTTCGTTTTGCAGTCTACGTCTTTCTTTCTAGCCTTGATAGAGTTCAAAGGCGTCTGTGCAGCCTTATTTCCCACCCTCTGACCGTTTGCAACAGATGAAACGTGACAAGCCTATCGATACTCTATCGCTATTTCCAACAGACAACGCTCAGGAGAGCCATATTTCGTAGTTCTACCAGTTCAGACCTTTACAACTAAGAGACACAAAAATCTACACAGGTGTGAATCGCCCTCCTTTCCCTTCGTATTCCATTGATAAGAAGGAAGTTCCATTCAAACACCGGTTCCCGAACGATCACCGAAGTTAAGCAATATCGAGCCTGGTCAGTACCTAGATGGGTAACCGCATGGAAATACCAGGTGCTGTAATCTTGGATGTGCGGGTGGTGTAATGGATAACGGCTCGGAATGAGAAATCGGAGAGACGAGTTCCGGTTGGGTTCGTTATATTCACTTACACGTAGATACCCTTGTAAAATCCAACTCCTCACTCCAGCTATGGCTTAATTAGTAAGACTTTTATCAATAAAACCATTATTATATAAGATAATAATAATAATATTGCGTCCAAAATATTTAGATTTTTGGCATTAAACAAGCCATAAAGATTGATATGCCGTTCGAACAGCTTTATCCCAAAAGCCACTGCTTTGTGGAACAACTCCCGAGAGGATGCTTCCCCAATTACTACAATCTTAAACTCTTTAAGTCTATATAGTCAATCGTTATTTCTCCTCTTTATAATCCCTATAATCTGTGCCTCTTACCCCCACTCCTGTTATGTCCATAACGCAACCTCAAATGTAGCGGATTTCTAAAAGTGGTTGCGTTATGGACGCAAGAGGGAGATGGGGGGAGTGGCAAGAGGTGCAGATTATGAAGATAAGTAGAATATACACTTTCGTGCAAATTAATTGAAACAAAAGGAATAATCCCGTTATTTGCTTTTCTTCGTATTTTTCCAATGAACGATCCAGTGCACATGTTCATTTCACGAAGTCGTTCCTTGCAGATTGACCCCAGATTTCGATTGGATTTAAATCAGGAGAATTTCCAGGACAATCTATAGTACTTTGATTTGCTCACTAGTAAGTCTTGCCGGTATGATCGTGCAGCGTTACAATTTTCGTACGCTTTCTTGGAGTAACGTTCAATGCAGAAAATAGCTGTAGGACAACTAATCAACAGTCGAGACAATAGTGTCTGGGTGTGATGAAAATCTGATGCAATCACGGATGACGTAATATTTTTCAAGGCTAAACAAATTTCATTATACACCCCGAAAATAGATTCATATTACTGCACACCACTGCAAATAACCTAATCTGAGGAAAAAATAGAAATCGATTAAACCCTGTCACTCCAACGTATGGGAAAAGAAAGGAAACAAAAGCGGTTGTTTCAATTAATTTACACAAGGATATACATGGGAATGCATTTCTGGTACTAATATTGAGAAGTTTATTATTGAATTTGGGGAGAAAGTAAGCTATTTTGAAACGTTCAGCTTCAAGGCCAACTGATGCTTTGTTATTTCTTAGTTATTAATAGCTTTCTTAATAGCCTCATTAGCCAGTTCATTATTGTTCATGTTTAGAAACGGATTTAATGAAAGGGTTCAAATATTCAAGGTAGCAGTCATTACGTTACAAGTCCCATAACCCATTAGGGTTCTTAAGGCATCATATGTAGTTATGCAGCCATCAGAGTAGTGGCTGATTGTGAATTCAGTTTTCATTTTCTTGGACTGTTTACCACTGGTTACCAAAGTAAGAGATCACAAACCCGCCCTGCTATTTAACATGTAATTGGGGTAAGATGTTTTTCCAAGGGCATTAACGTAAAGTGAACGAAACAGAAAAGAACGGGTACTGAACTTGGCAATATAAAATTCACTTTCACTCTGATAAAGGTTCCTCTATCCGCATATCCACTGCAGCCGTAAAAATGTTAAAAGCCGGTATTTCGAATGTTCCTTTTTTAAAAAGGCTTTTCCAAGTTGAAAATTGTCGCTAAACAATCTTACAATCCTCCATTTTCTATCATTTGAACTTATGTCAGACAAAATTATATTTACTTCTTTTTTAATCATTTCCTCCCAAGCAAAGCAATAAAGCCACAAAGACGCAAGGGTTAGAGTTTTAAGGGTCCTTATTGTATTGTCCCATTGCGTATTTCCAAACAGAACCAGCTTTTCGAATTTAGTTGAAATATAGAATTTAAAAAATTTTCTAAAGTAAGCAGGAATGCTCTGTCCAATTGAAAAATTAGCGCAACGTAATGTTACTATCTTCTGCTATCTCCCTTTTGGTCATGTGCCAGACTCAGCTAAATTTCGAGACATTTCTTCATCGATATATTTTCCGTCATGTTATACTTTATTAAGAATGTTTTTTTTTTGTTTTTTTTGTTTTTTTTTATTGAGGAAGCAAATAACATTTTCTCAGAAATTACGAGGCTTCTTTCAATTTTGATCCAAACCGAATAAGAGTCGATCACTTCAGATGCAATCAAATAAATTACCGGTTTGTTTCAATTTCTTTCACTTAGTTCGTTCGTCTTATTTCCTCGACTTCCTTTCTTTAGTCCCTCCCAGCTTCTCGTGTCCTTTTCTTTCTTTCTTTCTTTCTTTCTTTCTTTCTTTCCTTCTTTCTTTCTTTATTTCTTTCTTTCTTTTTTGCCCTCCCTTTCATTTTTCTTTCCCCCATCCTCTATCCATTTCATTTTTTTTATTTCTTCGCGTCTTTCTTCTTTCCTTCCCGCCTTGCTTTTTTTTTTTTTAATTCTTTTTGTCTTTCTTTTCTTATATTTATTCTCCTTTCCTCAGTTTCATTTTTCTTCATTTACTTCCTTCCGTCTTTCTTTTCTTTCTGTTGTCCATTCTTCCTTTTTACCCGTTCGCTCTCTCACCCTCATTTCTTTCTTTTTTTCTTTCTTTCTTTCTTTCTTTCTTTCTTTCTTTCTTTCTTTCGTTGCAATATCTCTTTATTCCTTTTCCTTTTTCGACATTATTTTCTTTTTTCCATTCTTTCTTTCTTTTTTCTTTCTTTGCAGTATCCCTTTCTTTCTTTCTTTCTTTCTTTCTTTCTTTCTTTCTTTCTTTCTTTCTTATTTTTTGCCCTCCCTTTCATTTTTCTTTCCCCCATCCTCTATCCATTTCATTTTTTTTATTTCTTCGCGTCTTTTTTCTTTCTTTCCCACCTTGCTTTTTTTTTTAATTCTTTTTGTCTTTCTTTTCTTATATTTATTCTCCTTTCCTCAGTTACATTTTTCTTCATTTACTTCCTTCCGTCTTCATCACTGCCTGCCTTGCTTCTTCCCTTATATTCTGCTTCCTTCTTTCACTTTCTTCCATTTTCTATTTTCATTTTTCCGTTCGTTTGTTTCTTTCTTCTTGTCTTCCATCCTCACTACTGTTTTCACTTTTTTCTTTTTTTCCCGTCGTTTCATTCGTTCACTCTCTTTCTCTCCTTCACTCTCATCTTCCTTTCCATATGCCTTTCCCTTTCTTTCCGTTGTTCTTCCCTCTCCCCCTTCCTTCCTTTTTTAAATTCCTTTTCTCCTTCGTTCTGTCCTTTCTTTTTCTATCATTTATTTTTTTTTTGTCGATGACATATCTATTTACTCAGTCAGCCACTCTGCCCAACTACCCCTGATCAAGTGCAGTAATAAAAATTCGTCAAATGATTAAACACATTTTTTTTTTCCAGATGAGAATTATAATTTCTTATCAGTGAAGATAGATATTTGCACGGCTGTCATTAAACTCCATCGACCAGTGATACGGGCAACCGCTCGGGTATTGCCGTTGTCATTGTCGCGAGTGTGTGTCATTCGCATCGCCAAGTCCATCAACCTGGAGGATTTCTTCAGTCGAACCGCCTGCGGTAGGGTGGGTCAGACGATCAATATCAGCCGGCAGCTAATGGTTTTGTATTAGAAGCCCCAGCACATGGAGGGTTTGGTCAAACGGGAGAACATTCAGACGCTGCAACGTTGATTAGGCGAAACGTTCGAGCGTTTCAGCGGCGCAACGCAAAGAACGCAGGGTTTCCGCAGCACCTGCCACCCCTACCCAGTCATTCGCCCTCGCCTTTCCTTGTTATTACATTTCATCTTGAGAAGAACTCTCTCCCCTCCTCCAACCACCGCCTTCATTATCCCCCCCCATCCCCTGCTGTAATACAGATAAAAGTCGACATTCGGAGAAATTATCTACGTTATTTTCTTTTTCGCTTTCCTCCTCTATAACGACCACTTCCTCATCCCCCCTTAGTTATTACGGCAGCTTCGAGGATTCTATTTTCTGCATCTAATACGACAAGAACCATCCCCACCACTACTACTAATACCACTACTACTACTGCTGTAATAGCTAACAATAATCCTCTTCCTATTCTCGATACTAATAGAACAACTATAAATAATAATAATAATAATAATAATAATAATAATACAGTTCATGGCTACCTTTCAAAAAGAAACGAACAAACAAAAAAGAAACAAAACAAAAATTAAAAATGTCAGGATTTTGACCAGAAATATAAAGTGTGACGATGGCCATAATAATTGCTGCAATTTGAACTCTACCCCAAAGACTCTACCCCAAAGACTAGAATGGAAACGACATCTACTAAAATTCGAAGAGAAATTAATCCTGCACACACTCACATTGGTATTTGTGAGGATCTTGGGGTAGGTGCTGAAAATTTGCTGACACTCAATCTCTGGAAGTAACCAACCGAATCCCACGCGAAACATTAAATGCATGGAATCCACGTAATCCACATTATATATAATGCAATATATATATATATATATATATATATATATATATATATATATATATATATAATTGTTATACATTATTTATATAAACACAAATATTTAAGTAAATGCTCTGTTTATAAACAGTAATAACAACAATTACCGGCCTGAACGTCCGAGAAATTTTCATAGAAAATAAGCGTCCTCCGACAGGAATCAACCTGTATCCTACACGGAAATGCCATATAACCTGAGGTGATATACCAGTTTAGCTACAGAGGAGCGTCTGGTTTAAAAGCAGTAAAATCGATCTTGCTAACCAGACGCTCCTCTGTAGCTAAACTGGTATAACACGTCAGGCTATATGGCGGTTCTGTATGTGTCTATAAATAATGTATAACAATAAAATATATTAAAATAACTGTCAGACTTTGTCTATTTCACAATATATATATATATATATACTCAATCTCAGCCGTTATCCATTAATCCACTGTGCCTTCATTGCATTCACTTACGTGCTAATACCTTTGGGAAAGGTATGAATCCTCTTCTCCCCCCCCCCACCTCTGGGTAAATAGCAGGACAGACCGGGTTCTATAGCCTTGGATGGCAACATATCTAAGAGAAGGGCAACATAAGTGTGGGTAGATTGGTTGTCACTTTCTAGAAACTGAGTTGCTTGACCCTCATACATCGAAATTTGTGTTTATTTATACTTAATACTATCCTTTCGTCATTACGGACAAGTTTTCTCACTAAAGGAAGAAAGTAAATTACCGTGTTGATGCATATTCATTTTATTCCGAGTACTTTCGATATGAGCACAATGTCATCATCAGGGTCTTGTTGAGTTTATCTATTTTCTATGACAAAATTGTTGTGTTCAACGGAAAAGTAATTTTTTACAACTGTACTTCACAATTTTTAAATTTTATCATATAGACACACGTACACACGTGAAAGGAGGTAACTAAGTTATTGCAATGTCTAAACATTTAAAAAAATCTATTTAAGACTATTAGTTAAGACCTAGATATTTTAACGTATCTTCTGTAAACATTTTAAAACATTTGTGCAGTATTCATAATTAATTTTATTAAGGTTTCGTTTCAATGTTTTAATATAGAAGATTTTTTAGTTTGTCGATTATTTTCATGAAAAGTATATATATATATATATATATATATATATATATATATATATATATATATATATAAATATAGATAACTAGACTCGTTTCGAAAAACCCTCGAATTTTTGATTTGTTAATCAAATCAATTTCGAGGGAAAAAAAAGTTTTAAAAAAAGAAAGAGCTACAAACATGAACTTCTGCCGACAAAAAATCGCACAGATGCAGGTCTGAAGCCCAAAGAAAAAACCCCGATACGAGTAACAACTAACTAACAAAAGAGCTCAATACAATCGTAGAGCAGACCTAGATACACCAAGCTTTCCCTGACGATCCGTTTAGGTGAAACCTAGGTAGGTTTGTCTGGCTCACTAGGTGTATATATATATATATATATATATATATATATATATATATATATATATATATATAATAAAAGTTATAATTGTTCCAACGAGAGAAAATGTATATTTTAAAAAAAAGAGAGAAAAGAGAGATATTTGTTTTAGTGTATATATTATATTTCATTCTTCATATTTTTGCTACATGGGTTTCCGGTCTCGTGACCTTCTTCAGGCAAATTAAAGGAAATCAATTTTTAAAGGAAGAAAATTTCTTTATGTTCTTTTAATGTTTCATTGTTCATTTTCTCGATTTGTAGTGATCCTTGATCTCATTTTCTCGACTTTTGGCAAAAGTGAATTTCTGCCTAAATGGCAATAAAATCATTAGGTTATTGTCGAATCCGTTACGTGCTAATACCCTTGGGAAAGGTATGAATCCTCTTCTTCTCCCCCCCCCCCAGTTATGGTTAAATAGCAGGACAAACTGGGTTCTATAGCCTTGGGTGGTAACTGGTCTAGGACGAAAATTCGTAATTCAAAATCTGAGGAGGGTCGCTTCAAAAAGTGTGGTTGGTTCTGCACAAAACCTTCAACACTTGAAATTATATCTGGTGTCTGACCATCGTTTCCTAGGAACTGAAACGCTTGACCCTCATACGTTGAATACGACGGAAGAGTCCACTATATATATATATATATATATATATATATATATATATATATATATATATATATATATATAGAGAGAGAGAGAGAGAGAGAGAGAGAATTAGTACAAATATAGAATTTGTCACTTAGCTGATTGATGTTATATTCACTACCTCTACTCTGGAGTTTCGTTTCGTAAGTCTGAAGATAAACTACATCCGCGTCCTAGGTATGACGATAAACTACATCCAGCAGTAAGGCCTCTGATCAGGAGGTTTTGTGGAGTGTCGAACCACCTCTTAATTCAGGTCCATTATGTTAGTGTCCCAGCTATGGATAAATAGTTAACCCACAAACTGGGGTAAAAACACTATGAAAGTGTAAAATAGGTTTTAATACAAAAAAAGAAAAATTTTACCAGCAATACATTTTTTAATAAAAATATTACCAGCAATAAAAAATATTGTGGGCATTAAATAACCCATTGAGGCTGATATGCAGTAAAACAAAACATTAATAATAATAATCCTTTTCTGAGCTGCACAGAATGTGCTTCGTTAGGACTAGATCCGGTTTTAAAATCAGAGTTGTCTTTCACCTAAACTGCCCTACTATTTACCCACAATTGGAGTTTTTTTTTTTAAATTCAGAGTTGTCCTTCTCCTAGACAGGTTGCCACCCAAGGCAAATTACTTGCTAATTACTACTTGCTGGGCAGAGAGAAATGAATTTATACTTTTCCCAAGGGTATTTGCACGTAAATGTGTGTAATGACCTCGACTGAAATTCGAACTCTGCTCTCCGACTTCTCGATCCGAATCGCTATCCACTGTACTTCCTAGTACTTCCTATAATATATAATGATACTAACTGTGGCAAATTATCATTATTATTATTGTTGTTATTAATAATAATAATAATGTAGCTAAGAATAGACTTCCTGCTTCTATTAACACTAAAACTACTACTAATAATAAAAATACTAATATATGTAAAACTAACTTACAATTTTGGCTAATGACAACGTTTCACAGTATCGACTAATGACTATAGTCTAACATGCGTCATTTTTAAAGATGGAGAAAATTGATACTCATAGAAAATTGATAGTCATTTTAGATTGCGAAAAAAAAAATGAAAATTTAGAAGACTGAAGCTGAAACAGAAAGGAATCAGGCTCGAAAGAATGTAGAGTTGGAATTAAAGCGAACAACATTTTGCATTTTGCTTACGTCACGAGAATTGAGCTCGTGCACCAGTGGACAATTCCAGGATTCGATTGGCTGTCTGCTTGACAAGAATGGTCATTACGGTTAAAAGCTGCCTTGACTTGGAGATAATTGAATCGAGAAAGATCCAAAGGAAGTCGACATTTTTTTCCTAATCTGAAAAATTGAATTTCATCTTTTCCTTTTTATGTCGTTAAATATTATTATTATTATTATTATTCCTCCACTTCCTCCTCCTCCACTTCCTCCTCATCCTTCATCTTCATATTTATTTAGTTCACTCACCAAAGGAGTAATGGAAGAGAGATTTAAAGTCGGCCTGCTCTATCGGACCCGGACTCACTGGGATGGAACTCAGAAAACACCAGGAAGTTCGTCAAAATAAATAAATACGTAAAACCGGTTAATATTTCCAAAGATAAATGCTGGTTGCTCTGATAGAACCTTTCGAATAATAAATGAGAATCCGAAAATCGCCTCGAGCGAAACAGTGAATATTTCTGAGGACAGAAAGGAAGGAAGCGTTTGGAGGCGTAAAATAGGAAATGGCGAACGACAGGGGGAGAAAAGGAAGAGGCGAAGTGAAGTGGAAACATGGCGAAGATCTGCAGGCTTCAATCGCATCCAAATTGGTTTCATTTTTAAGAAGTAATATTTAATTCGAAATGATAAGCCTCGAAAATATGAAACGATGAAATTATTTTCGGCAAAGAAATTCTGCTTTATACACTTACGAACATTATTATATGGTTACATTTTTTATCATTTCCCGGGAAGCTAATGAAAATCAGGTTTTCATAAAGTTCGATTTTTTAAAAAAAAGTTGACTTAGAACTGTGAAATAAATAAATCGTCATAATTCTTGTTATACTAATCAGCCAACAAACTATACGAAGTATCGCCCATAAGTTTGAATAATTCGATCAAACACAATTTCTTACTTTAACACTTAGTTACCACCCTCTCTTACGATGCTCTCATTTGTCGTTCACGAAGAGTTGCAGCAAAAGTATGGTCCGCCTTAGGACACACAAGAAATCCAGTGAAATCCTAAATTATTTTATCTGGTCCTGTCTTTTACGAAAATCGATAGTAAAATGTACAAGTGAGATCTTCGAAGAAACATCATC